CCACGGGAACAAACGATCATCAATTATTCACCTGAGAATTCTTGTATCTAGCACAGAAAACTGCCCACGGTAGACATTAGTAACGTAAGTGGTAAAAAGGCAGAGAGGCAATAGTGCTCAAGTATCGTTCTTTCTGGTGTTGCCTTCTGAAAATCAACTTTCTATTCTTGCTTGAAAATCCCACCTGGGGAAGCTGCACGTACAAAGAGGGAAGAGCATTCCAAGTTGACCAGAAAAGTTTTCCCAAGCACTGGTGTTTGACACTCAGTTGCATACCAATTTGGTTTTGACGCTAGACTCATCCAGGATCCAGCTGAAACTCTCGTTCACGATGCTCTTAAGTAAATGATTGTTCTTCATTGGTCACCGCTTGTTTCACTTGGTACGATATTCAAGATACTTTTTCAAGGTGTAATACACAACTTGTAAGTTTGCTTAAGGCACTTTTAGAGCCCACGAACGGTTTCGTCCCTCTTGGGGCTCACCTCGTAGACACGGCCCCGAGCTTCCATCAACCCCATGTTCTTTTGGGACTCGAATTGCACCTAATGCGCCAAATGAACTTGTTTGCCTGGCTTTGACGGAAGAGTCACCTGAATCCAACTGAATCTCTCATTTATGAACTTGCTACACAAAGCCGCTCCTCGGTACGATATTCGAGCTATTGTGGCATATTATTTGGACTTTATACACTACCTGATTAGCCCCAAATGGTGAAAACCCGGTCCTGGTCTTTTGACGATTTTTCAGCAACCTTATGAGTAGTGTATTGCGCTTTCCTCTTTTGACGTTTTTCAACAACCTTATGAGTAGTGTATTGCGCTTTCCCCAAACTTATCCACCGAAACTGGTGAACTGGCCTCACGTGGTGAGATTCAAAAATAATGCTCCACCTAAGCCCTGGAATCCAACAGCCAAGATGGTTTTCCACGTTCAATGTTTTGTAGAGGATGGTTGGGTTATCTCTGAGTGTCCACACTTGTTCAGAATATACCAAAGTCACTTATTCTGGATATGTAGGTCAGATGGTTACCTGCCCGTCTTTGGAGCCCATAGAATGTTGTTTTGAGATATTTGAACCGGTTTGCATACTCTCCGGGAGCTTGATTGGACAAGTGGAGCTCGAATCTTTCGGATTCTTGACAAAAAGCTGGCGATGATTCGTCATCATCTACCTAAAAAAGCTGAGGTTCCGCTTTTGGAAGACGACTTTCGGAAACTGGTTTTCAGGTAGCACGGCGGTATGCCTCATGTGATGCCGGTCTTCAGTAAATCAGTATTGGCATAATCCATGTCTGTCTGAATAACGCGCCTAGGTTAAAGGCGAACATTTGCCCCCAAATCTTTCCTGTGGCTCACAAACAGTGTGGACATCAAAAGAGTTGAAATGACGATTCAGACTGTCAAGGAACCGAGGCTCACCTTTTGATGTGCTGAATCTGAATTGATTTGTCTTGAGAGAGTATTTCGCACAAGTGTCTTCCAAGTTCTTTCCCAGCAAAAGTTTGCGGCAGAAGCTAGGAGCAACCAAGTGGTGCTGCAATTACCGAATTTCGATAATCAGTGTGGTGGATCGCATGATCGGATGCTTCTGAGAAGTCCAGGTAGGCTGAAATAGCACCTGTTTGAGCATTGCTTAGGCCATCCAGGCTTCAACTAAAGTGTTGAACCTAGTGTTGGTTTCGAAAGTCTGGTCAGCCTACAGTATCCTTTACATATACAATATATACACCAACCTCTATACCTTATATAAATATGATATATAAATTATATTTGATGCTTTTTATTCAAGATTCCATCCTGTAAGCGAAGCCAATGTGTGCTGAGAAATGTGTGGTACAAGGGAAATTTTCGGAAAACCCGTAAATATCTGTGGAAATTAAAATATAGACTGAAAAATGCATTCTGAACTATACTTTGGTTAGAACGCTATGTGCCAGATAAAAGTTTGGGTATTCTTCATTAAACTATCTCACGCTTTTCGGAAACAACTAAGTAGTGTCAGATAATCTGTTGATATGGTTATCGCGCGAATAAGCTGTCGAAAATTGTACACTCAATTTTAGGCGTACAGGCGTAATATACCTGTAATTGGTTATACAGACCACTTTTACCGAGTGATGTGTACTTGTATGGGAGATATGTGTATGAACAGGAGCTTCCGTTAGCTTAGTGTCTCCGGATTATCAAACCTATCAATTTGTAGCACTTAAACGCTTGATAAAAAGCCGTCCATTGGATGTTTGATTTGGTCTTTTCAAATTCACTTTCATCCTTGATTGCCTAAACAGGGTAAGATGCTAGAGGTCCGAGAAAATTCACAATTTTTCAATCAAGATTCTAATCTGTAACTGATATCATTCGATGCCAAAATGCCGAGGAGTTATGTGCACCTCTATCATAGTTTTGTTTCAGGTTGGCTTCGATTTTTCTGGTTTCGGCTGGTAGTCGGTTTTGAGACAATGGTTGGTGAACCTGGGACAGTCACAAGGAATTGAATATGTCGCGGATAGGCACATAAATGTGGAACCCCATGTAAATTTCTACATAAATTTGCTTGTATGTATCATCAGCTACAGGAAAACCGCCAACAAAATATGCAAGTTCATTAGGTCAACGGAACTCAACCGGTCAGAGCGCAGCAAGCATCACATGCACACGCGAGAAGCAGGTTGTCCGCATGCATCTGTGAGGATCAGCAGGATCGACATCAACAAATTCTCTCCGCATGTAGTAGATGAATCCACGGATGACTCTCTTGAGAGTTATGGAAGGGGCTTTGGGAAAGGATGTTCTGGTAACCTGAGGGACACGGTTTCATCACCAGGTTCGCTACAAGTGGGCATTAACAGTTGTATTTCGGAGCACATTTTGAACTCTTTCGGTCATGTATTGAGGCAGATAGTACATGTGGATTTTAGCATTGATTTTAAACCTCTCAGTGCCTGAAGTTCTGATCTAGTGCTGAATTAGATGAACGAGCAGTTCAGAGTACAATACTGCGATTGTGTATAATTACGGTAGTAAAGTAACTTGCCAGTACAATTCACATCTGCAGGTCAATCAGAAAAGGAGTATTTCACGTGGATGCGGACGAGCGGGACATTCACTTCAACAGTGTTCTTGCTGTTATGATGATGACAGTGATGTTGGAATTTCCTCTTGGGCACTGTGTACACAGCCAGTCGCCTTTCCCACAGACCGTTCAGTGTGGCTGCGCGATGAGGAAGTACTCGATTTTCCGCGTTGAACTCACAAGCCCTTAGTCTGCAGGACCCATCGACGCTGCTAACAAGTCGCATACCCCGGCAGTGCTATGGTATCCACTAGAGCAAAGTGTGTTGCAAAGTCTGTAGCGGTGGAAACAACGCGGTGATCTAACGGTTGCAGACCGATCATGCTTTAGTCACTTTGCTATGGCGCCTAACTTACCTGAATCTTGTTCAGATTACCGCACGAAAGAAGTACTCTGAGATGCACAACTGGACGAAACAGTTTTGCGAAACCTACGTCACGTCAGTTTGGTTCCAGCAGTGGTCCACTTTCTCTTTTTTGGGAATAGAGTTGAATTCTATAGAGGAGAATGTCGGTAGCTCAGGTGGCGTAGATGGTCGTTGACTTGTTCGCTGAGCTGGGCAATTTGGTTGCAAACGTTTCATCACCAATCGAGGTGACATTATCAGTGCGTAGTTGTGCGTAGCGTAGCAGCGTAGCACAACCACTAACCCACCGCTACGCACAACTATGCACTGATGATGTCACCTCGATTGGTGATGAAACGTTTGAAATCAAATTGCCCAGCTCAGCGAACAAGCCAACGACCTTAGAGTTGAATTTGGATAGAAGATATGTGGCTATTCTTAATGGCTGCGACAAGGTTTCCACTCACTGTGCAGTCATCTTTGCTCCATCTCACTCATCTTTGCTGAGTGATCCTCAGCGCACGCTAGGGTAGGGTAGCCTAGTGTACTTGCGTGCGTGCACGCATGTGTGCATGACAAATTAAGCTTAGCTGAGATCCAATAACCTTGGGATAGGTCGGTCAAGTCACGTGACACACGTCCTGTGTGGCACAGCCAACGAGCTTCGTTGCTGACGAGCTCTAATAAGAGTGCAATTCAAGTTCGTGTGTGCTCACCAGAATAGGTAGGCCAGAAAAGGGGGAAATCAAATCGAAAGAAAGATGTGAACGCGAATTCTACAAGTCCCGCAAACACCTAGAACTTATCAGAAACACTTCAAACTGAAATTTTCCGCCCACTTCGGGCTTTTCGAAATAATGGGATAAGGGGCGAAAGTACGCACTGGCCATCCTCATCGCCAAATGCTCTTGGAATAGGATGAGAGTCAGGAAAGTCAGATTCCTGATAATAATCTGAGAATGCCTGGAACCTGCGGAGACCCCGAAACTCCACCACAATCTCACTAGGGAGGCCATCAGACACCCAGGTCAGCCAATCACTCAGTAAATTTGGCAAAGGCCAATGAGGTTTCAGACACGCCACAGAAGCACGACCGACTACGATAAGTGCTCAGGCATTTCGTACAAGCATGATCGACACTGAACGATGTTCACTAAACGTCGATCAGACAGCCTGGACCGATATGAAAAAGTGACTTTTGAATAGGGCGGTGCCGTTGTAGCTTTTGCACTCACTTGTTGCAATAAATCCGTTGTGTTGCTTGTCAGCGAGTCTTTTTTCGGCACAAAGACACTGGAGCGGGGGTCAGCAGTCAGATAGTTTAGGTTTAGTCTCGACAATAAAAGGTTCGGAAATGAGACTTCAGGACGTCAGTGTCTCGCTCAAAGTTTTGAGGACATTCATGGGAAGAGACAAAACCCAGATGAATGAAAACGAGGGCAGAATAAGCCATATGCTAATTTTGTATTTGCACGTGTCTGGAGACCAGAACGAAAATAGATGCTCGTCGCTGATTGGTCCGTTTCTTTGACTGAACTGTGTGCGTACGAATGCGCGATGTCGGCAATCACACGGTGCATGCATATCAGTGTTGAGTGGGCGTTCGTCATGGTGGTCGGACAAACACATGATTCTTACATTTGGCATTCATTGCGCATATTTGGCGGCACTTTGATTGTACTCATGAAATCAGCTCAAGATATATCTGGTCATCTCCCAGCTCCAAAGCCGCCTGGCTTATCACCATCGCTACGTTCTCCCATGAGGAATGTATCCCCGAGGCTTGGAATACGAGCCCCCGAAAGCTGCAGTTCTTCTCCACTTTGCACTGGTTTCTCCACAAGATGTTCTTCCAACGACGCCGTTCACCTGAACTGGTTGCGTGAAGAAGCCGAGTGGGAGAAATGTTCTCTGAACCCATCTGTGGCTCGTTACGTGAAGACACGAAACATTATCGAGCGAAACCGTCTTAACGCGGTACACATGCTTTTGGACAGAGAGCTCGAACGGGAATTGAAACGCATCGCCATCGAGAGAAAAGAATTTGCCGACGTATTTGATAATATCAAGCAACGACGTATGAAGAGTCAGGAGAGGAACGTTCGTCGGGGACAACGTCTACGCACAAGTTCAGGTGATTATCCATGTCAATCTGATTCACATTTCGTAAATCCAGTTGCGGGAAAGTGGCAGCCAATCCCGTCTCAACAATGGTCACCACACATCTCACCAGGATCCACTTCACGTGGGTGGGATAGGATACGTACAAACCACGATTTGATGGGTACGGTCATGTCCTCGCCTGACTTACACCGTCCGAAGAGGCCCGAAAGTGGGTCACAACTAGATCCATCCATCAAAACCAACTTGCCCGAGTATTCCTTACCGAGAACTAATCAGAAGGACGGAGCTTCCAGATTTCCAGACAACACAAAGCGACTTGTCGTGAACACAACTTCGTCGAATCTCTCTCCATCAACCGGTCTCAATATCCAGCACACCGAAGATGGAAACGCAAATGAAACTTAGGTGAATAAGAAACGTGTTCATGCGTGCCAGCCTAACACTAATGGAAGAATCTTTCTGAACATGATTCAAGAAAATCAAACAATCCTGAACACAAATGATTTCTCTCTTGTCCATATTTACGGAATTGTATTCATACGGAAAAATTTTCGTGCGCATTCTTTCCCTTGGATTTTTCTAAAGCGCGATTCACAGCTAAGTTTGGTTGGGTCGGAATAATCGATAATCGGTGTGGTGAGTACTGCCAATCCAACTAAACTGTTTCAGGACTTCCGTCCTTCATCTTTGAATTACAAGCGAAATCATGAGGCTTTCTTTCCAACTCAGCGTTGGAACACAACACTTCCACATTTAGAATGTAGCTTATTTTAGTCAGTCGTACTGATCAGTGAATTTGGAATTTTTTGTTGATTGTAAGGCTACTCTTTCCGGTCAAGGAGTTGAGAAAAGGGTACACTCGTTTTAAGATGCCCATATCGCTCTGGACAGTACTTATGTATTGAATCCACATTCGTTCTGTAGGCCGATAGAGCCGGTCTTATGTTCTCTCTGGATTAGAAGGTTACGATTTTACTGAAGAAATACAAAAACTAGTGGCCGACTTGAATGCGTTCACGGGGGGACTGGGAGCTGGGTCTCTGAAAGGATCATTCTGGTGTTGTCCTCTGGATTACATGGGTCTATTTTTTTCATGATTGCCCTTGTCGGGCCGTCCATCGTTGCACGCGATTGTGTAGTAAAACTTGGACACGGCTGGCTGATTTGGTTGTCGATCGCCTAAGAAATTTCTGGAACTAGAAAACTAGCTGCCAAATCACTATCAAGCGGGTATATCCGACATATGAAACGCTAAATATGGATATTAGCTCCTGGATAGTTGAATTCACTTCAGAATCCTCTGCCTGCAACAACCATATGCCTTTGAAAGATAGCTGTAAGTATCAAGTCAGCCTTCCCTGACGGGGGTTTCCGAGGCTGTGTCAATTAGGAAGTACTTTATTTGTTCCATGGGGGAATGAAGTGAACGGAATAGGAGCCAGTCTAAAAGATTTTTCCATACCATACAAAATATCATCCATGGCCTACGGAGACAACTGTCTGATCAATAAATTGACTTTTTAGGCACATGCGTGAAACGCGGCAGAAAACTGCTCTTTCGCTGAGAAGGCGAAATCTTGTATTCATAGCGTAACGGTGGATACTACTGATGGGGTCACACGAGTAGTATGCTTCCTTGTAAATCTGCTTAGCGTCTCTTGAAGAGTGAGATCTATTACGAAATATGTGTGGGGTCGCATATGTTTTCATTTGAGCAACAGTCAGTGAATATCCAGGAATGTTCAAGGAGACACGTTCAAGGAGAAGATGGACATTCATTTCCTGTAAACAAGTTGCATATGAGATTTTTGCTTCCCTGCCCAATATTCTGTAATTGTTCACTAGACGTTTTCTGATAAATGACTCCGCAGCGACGGCCTTCTTCAATAGTAGTTTCATCCATTACCAAAGTAAAAGGGACCCATGAACACCGGTAGAACCCTCGACAGAAGGGAGGAATTAATTAACGTCTCAATTACCGAGAAGGAGGTCACACGGAGTGCAGGTAAGACCGTTTCTGAAGAATTCAGACTAAGTTTGGGAGCAGAGGCCTGGGCAAAATTACGCTTTCTGGTCGCCAGGTCATCTAGATATCCTACCTACTGAACTTCGAAAACTAAACCAAGATGACGAGGATCAGGCGTACTGCCATTTCGTGCTAAGGATTATCTGGTCATTGATATATCATCAGACGCCAAGGTCACCAACAGCCTCGGTTGGTTGAAACATTGACATTTACCGATCTTGTAATTCAATCACGGTATTGTAAAGTATTTCTCCTCGCCTGGGGAGACTGTCCTTCAGAAGAAACTACTATAACTTTGTCCTTCTTTTTGTGTTGGGTGGGTGGCCAATTTTCAATCAACCAGTTGGTGTCTGTAAGCATAAATTGTTCCTTGGCTTAATGTGGTGGATAGTTTACCTGGGAAATTCATCCATAGTCTTCAGTTGTGTCGGCCTGATCAAATGCATAGCGTGTGGGTAATCGCCTCTTGAAGACAAACATTGTTGCCGGGGACACAAATCAAAATATAGGCCACCTGGGACTTTGTAGAAGAGCTGGAAGCTGAAGACAAATAGTTGAATTGGATCGGCCTCTTAGATCCTTAACGCATAACCATAAGTGGTGAAATAAGCAGTAGGAAATCACTGTCAATGATGATGTGTGCAGAGTGCCCAAGTTTTTTATAGATTGGTTCATCAGCTCCATACAGTTGCCTAGCACATCTAGTCCTTCAGGTGCACGGACACGGTTGCAGGATGTCGAACGTCGAGTGTTGACAAGACATACCTTGTCAACAGGACAAGAACTGATGAATACGGCAGACATAGTCGTCTGGACATGACTAGCCAATCAACGCGTTGTATAGGACTGTGGCTACAACAACCTGTGTGGCCGTGATCACGTGGTATAGATGTGATAGGCTGTTCATGAGTCATTTGAGTAAAATAATACCCTATTGCTGTCAGCTCACAAATCCTAGCCTAACGGTGTATACTACTGATGGAACAAGCGAATAGCATCCGATCAAGTGTCAGAGCTTCGTCTCCGCATCTGATGTTGATATGGGAATTACGCAACCACTTTGTAGTATTTTTCCATTATTGTTTAGCATCCAAATAATGTCCGAGTAATGCACTACTCACGAGTAGTGCACTACGTCTATACAGGTATCGCGATATCTCGAATATCGTAGCAACTAGAACATGAGGCGGCCTGGTACAGCACATTCAGTTACCTGGATTCAGCTTGGTTCCAGGTGAGTCTCTCTCGCAAAACTAAGTTCGTTTGCAAATGAGTGTGTTTTGCGAACGTCCAAGTGAGTTCAATAGGATGGTCACATTTCAAAACAAGTCTTACTTTTGTGTCTGAAAGATTATGACCAGTTAGGTCATTTTTGGTGACAGATGATTTCGTACTCAGAGGTAGCCTTCCTTCGGCAGACAGTGTCTCATAGATACAGGCGTTTACACTTAGCTTATTGGCCATTTGGGAAGCCCGAACCTCAGAAAAACGACCGGGGTGTTTCGGCGAATTTAATGCCTTCACCCTTAGGATAACTGTGTCGGGACTCAGGGGTGGGATGTGTGTGGTACTTCATTCAGTCGCCATACCTTTACAGGCACCCAAATGTCGTTAGAATGAGAAATTCCAAATAATTATGGCATTTTTGCGTGCATCTGCAAATCGCAGAACAGTACTTTGTTGTAGCAAGCGAGCGCGGTCAGAAACTGCTATGAAGGCAACTCAGATCGTTGTACATACCTCGTTTGATCTACACTGCCAAGAAGTTACTGGATGAAGACGGAGTAGGTGAAAGTTGGATGGATTTTGCTAACTGATTATTCGTATCGCTGTCGTGTTGGAAACACTGATTTCCACGTTTGCATCATTATCCTTTCGATAGTTCCGGACGCAATTATTTTGGTGAGTCAAAACCAAAGTGGTAACATTGGAATTACAACACAATCGATCAAACAATCGTTCAGCTGTAGCTTGAAACCCAGTGATATGTCACACGCTTGCATGTCATATGGAGCAGCTTACTCAGCTCAATTACTCAAAGTTATGTACACATAAAGATCCGTCTTAAGAACCTCATCATCATCTTCAAGCGGAAACCTGGTGGCTGCAGTGTTTATAGTTGCTACATATTCGTTCGCTGACGAACTAAACCATGGGGTGGGTGGCTTAACAGCGAAGACAGTATCATATCTAAATAATTTTAAAAATCATTCAACTGTAGCACACTTTCGGTGCCTAGCTACCATTCAAACGAAGGAAGCACTAGGAGGGAGATACTGACAGGCTGCCCAAGCCTAGATGTCGGAGAGGCAGTGTCGGGTTCGAAACATGGACCTTCCGGTCAGTAAATCCGCGCTTCATCCACTTGAGCCATCTCACCACTGGAATTGAGTTTCAATTTTAGTAGAATGCAAGCTGTACAAATCCTGCAACCAATTGCAACTAATCAAAAGAACTCACCCAGCAGGATTCAGGAGCCCCTAATGCCTCCTGACTGTGAAATTCCGACAGGGGAGTCAGTCGACCGATACAACGGGGGAAGTTACTGCATCGTCCTTCTAGTTGTCGGATAAACCGATCACATTATTCAATAGTGATGTTCAGACATGATAAATAAGGCGCGTTCACTCCACACTAGTGAATCAGCGTTAAAAAGCTCATTTAATACGTTTGACGTTCGAACCCCGATATCAGAGACACTATTCAAATGAATTAAGTGAACGTAATCTCCACAGATCCGGCAACCGCGTGAAACTGGTATTACGTTTACTGTGTAAGTGGTTCCTACCCCGTTCCTGTTGACTGTTCTCGTGTTCAATCGTTACGCATCCCTGTTTAAATAAACACGTCATTCCAAAGACGTGATCATTTTTGGACTGCTGTCCACACAACTTGAGTATTGTCAATAAATCGATTGGGAAGAACGATAGTACTAAGATGCTTGAATATAAAACCAATGTCAAGTTCGTTTCCAATGGTGAAAATCTGTTAACTCCCTCGATGGCTTCGTTCAAGTTAGCCCACCGTCACTGTGGGTTACAAAAACGTGCGTTTCAAGCACGTTTTTCTGTCGAGGAGTTCATGTGATCCAATTATCTCTTTTGGCCAAAGTCGACTCGATTAGCCTCAAAAGCAAAAACTGACACAATTTGCATGGAATTGCTCCATCTCTAACTGATTTAGGTCAACTGTCAACTGACATATCCACCCAAGCTGACAAAGTTCAGGAAAATCAACTTAAACAGAGGGATATAATCTGAGAAACAGCCCGATTCTTATAGGAAGTTGGTCTCTCCACCAGCTATCAACTACACAGGTCATCCGTATTCTGAAGCCTCGCAATCAACCCGAGTTCACTTTCGGCTGCTCATGAACATAA